GGGGTGAAAGTTATTTCGCGTGGAAAGTTCAACGTTTCTGAACAGGGAAAGGTGTAGAATAGTACTTCATATCATACATGTATAGCAGAAATAATACGTTAATTTTGAAACTTTTTTTGTTAATAACTTTTTAACGAGTTAGGTCCGACGGTTAAAACTTCCTCAAGGTCACTCAGGATCATGACCTTGACAACATATGTCAAGGTCAAGGTCATTGGAGGAGGCTCCCCTAATCTACATTTTTACCGAATTTAAAAACCTGCGTGGTGTTATCCTTATGCTGTTTAGTAGACCAAAATATAACGTAGATACTACAATCGTATATGAACTTACCTTTTTAAAAAAAAAAAAAAAAGAAGGTAAAACATGCGCTAAGTTCTGATAAAAAACCATTTGGGCCAGTTTCGCCAACGCCAATTACTTAATCGGCTGTAGAACCGACTAATTATATTTGCTGTTTAGTAGACCAAGATGTAACTTGGATAACCTAGAGCAAGATGTAACCATAGAGATAGTAGTACTAGAGTACGCATTGTAGGAGTGGGGGTAATTCTATCTAGAAAAGGACGCATTCATTTGGGCCTTTTTGTTTTCTCTCGTTTCGCGCATGCGTATAGCTATATACTCTGAGAGAGGGGATCGAAAGAAAGAACGAGTCGAACGAGAAAAGTTTCATCATTACATGACCGGACAAGCCTGATTGAGCCTGATCACTTTAGAATCAAACAAAGAATTGAGTTTGATAAGGTTAAGGGCTCTCGATGAATAATATCAATAAATAATAATGATAAAAATCTATTACTTATACCTCTATAATTCTGGTTATGCGAGCATATTGACTAGCACCACCAGATTGTTTCTTATAAAGATAGTCAAATTCACATGGTTTAGTTAAGTCTCGCGGAAAGAAACTTTTGGCTTTCCAAGAATAACCGGACAAGCCTGATCTCTTTGGAATCAAACAAAGAATTGACTTTGATAAGGTTAAGAGTTTCCCAGTGCCAAGGGTTGCTCTTTCAATTCCTTATTCTTTCTTTCAATCCCCTCTCTCAGAGTATACGGCTATACGCATGCGCGAAACGAGAGAGAACGAAATGAGTTCCAAATGAGTGCGTTCTTTTCTAGATAGAATTACCCCCACTCCTCAAATTTCCGACAATGCGTACTCTAGTACTACTATCTCTATGGATGTAACTTACAAGTAACACTACCCAAGTGTTACTCACCGATCGTCTTGAAGTTTGTTCTACATATTCTTTAATGGAAAATATTTGATACGTATTTTTTTATATCGGCTAAAAAACATTTTAAGGGGGCTAAACAAATTTTTTAACATTGTAAAAACTACTATCGCAACGTGTATATTGTGTCACCGTGGGCTTCTTGCTTGGATGTTTGAAAAATACATTTAAAATTGGCTGAAATGTATTACCTGTGGGTTTTTGGTATCGGGGATTACGAATCTGAAGTCAGAATTTTAAAATTCAAAATGGCGGATCCAATATGGCGGTCGAATTTTTTAAAATTAATTTTATTTTCATGAAAATGGGTATGTAGGGTTTTCTGGGTTCGCTAGTTACGAATCTGAAATCAGAGTTTCAAAATTCAAAATGTCGTATCCAATATGGCTGACGAATTTTCAAGAAATTGTTTAATTTCCATAAGAATGGGAAAACCCATGTAGTACTATCTTTATCCTCATTTAATGACATATATCATTTGTATGAAAGATCTGATATCAAGTTGGCGCCAAGTTATTTTATAAAACCCATGTAGTACTATATTTATCCTCATATAATGACATACAGGGTGATTCAGAACGACCCCGTGTCCTTGCAAATACGTGTTCTTGACTAAATTCTGAGACGATTTTTCCTTTACGAAAATTTTATCCGACGCTTACTTTTTGAACTATTAAAAGATAAAGTTAGCGAATTACGATCCGCGAACAAAAGATAAGCAGGGGCGGCACACTCACCGTCCGACGCGAACGAACATGAGGGGCACTCATTGCGATCAAGGATATAAAGTTATTCTTTAATTTAAATTAATTTGATTTATCAAACATAATAAACATCTCTTAAACAACTCCATGTTTAAATTTCCATCTCATAAACAATTCAATACATGTTTTAAAGCTCGAATGAAACATCTACTCAACATTTAAGCAAACTTCTTATAAACTTTTAATAAACATATTGTTTTCGCCAGGGATCCTAAATCGATAATTTATTACGAAAACAACAAATCATTCATTTAGCTCTGCACTTTCTGATCTTTAACATTTCTTTAAACAAGGTGTAGAGAGAGGGAGGGAGGGAGGGAGAGAGAGACAGAGAGGAGAAAGAGATGGAGATGAGGAGGGGAGAGAGAGAAAGAAAGAAAGAAAGAGATTGATAATTGTAACCATTCTCGCTGCTCACCGCTGTTCTTCTCCCGTCGCAATCGTCAGCTCCGCTCCGCCTTGCTACGTCCCTATCTTCCTTCTACACTCGGTCGCTAATTTGCTAACTTTAACATTATATAACAACGAACTGAAAGCTCGTATCAAAAAATGACTCAGGACATTTTTACGTGAATTTTTGTCCTGTATCTCATGGTATACTCCAAGTGCGATAATTCAGATACACCCTGTATATAATAAGTAAAGCATTACAATTTGCAGATTACAATTTTCTAGAAAATAACTGCGATATGTTATGCTTAGTGCACAAAATATAAAAGTCGTTATACTAGCCCGTACAATAAAAATTAATTTCTTGTAATTCCAGAGTATCAACCTGTTAATGACTGGGAAAAAGAACATGGCGGCCTGCTCTCAAAAGAATTTCGATGGATGGAAAAAATGATTGAAATGAAAGTTATGAAAATGGTTTAGATTAAAAGCCTTTAATCTTTCTTTCACTTCAACATATTTTCTCAGGCATTTCAAGATATTTTGTGTATTTACATCGTTATCGTTATGGGGCTCTTGAAAATACGGTAGATCCTTATT